AAATTATGGCAGGTTGATGAAATTCGAAAACACGTCCTCCAATGCGATAAAGTGGTGACCTTTACTACCTGGCGATCACCGCCCAACACCTATGTGTGTCTACATCGTACCGGTTTTGCCAATACGACCAGCCACTATGCTGTTGTGTAATATGGTGAATTCATCAATGTCGAAATAGGTCGAACCAAGACTCTTTCCTAAGGAAACTATACACCCGCTGGGTACAGTTTTCAGCTTACATTTAACTTGAAATACCTAGGTTTGTCAAACAATGATATGTTTTCCCTAGATTTCGCTTTAATGTATCGCTCATAAAGACTGTGGTTCGCATCTGTGACTAAGTATCAACTTTAAATATAAATGTCTGCGTTCGGGGCACGAAATTGATGAAGCTACTGATACGCTTCACACGTGACATCTACTGGCCTAATCGAAACTGAAGCAACGGGTCCCTGTGAAACACTTGTCGGTTCTATTAGGCAACGGCATTTATACTGAAGTAATTTTTTCTCCAAATAATAATGAACAAGCCTTGTTGAGTCTTTATATACGTGATTTTTCTGATTCGTTTATACTCAGCAGATGGAATGGTTCAGAATGTAGCAGATACTCCCATTTCGTCAGTAGTGGTTGACCTAGACCACGGTGAGTTAAAAGGTAACTAAAGAGAATGGAACAGTTTTTATTAACAGCAAATTAACATTAATAATATGCAAGTAAGTAGGTTTACGGCCCCCACAAGCTTTTCTGGTTGTTGTTTTCCAACGGATTATCCTGTAAATTGTGCTTTTGTTAACGTTAAAGTATTGGGCAAAGTTTGATATCGAAAATCCTAGCTTGTGTGCTCGTGTGATTCTGTTTCTGTTCTCTTCACTGAGATAACGGGAACTTTTGGTTTTGAGCAATGCTTGCTTCCTTATAGTGACAACAATACAAGCATTCAAAGCTGTACACAGAAATGACCTTGATTTCAAGGTTGACTTTGATTGAAGTGGTATTTCTCGAATTCAGTGAGTTAGCTATCAAACATAGATTATAATTATGAAACCTTATTTAATGCAATTTCTCTGAGTTGTGAAAGAATCTCATTTGTTTATCCAATAGAGTTGCTATAATGGATTATATATTAGATAAAATAATGCCTCATTACAGATAGCTGAGATGGCAAGGGTTTATGGAAATAATTGGGGATAATTCTTGAGTCATTCTTATTAGAAAATATTACGTTGTCATACTTGATAAAGTTTGCGGTTTTCATGTTCACATTATTTAATCTTGGCACTCAAGGTCAGGCACGTTTAACTGACACTTATGCAGACTAGAAACTACGCAGATCGAAGTAGACAAGATATAAATTATTGTCCATACCCAAAGCATCAATACAGGTGATAAATATAACGAAACTCCTTTTGATCATGAAGAAAATATTTCAGTGCATCACAGTCGGCCAGTACTGTAGTTTAAACTTAACGGTGCCCTCTATCGTCGACTGGACCTAGTTACCGTGGGACCCTCACTCGGTCTAGCACTCTCGTGGCTCGATAATTGGGAGATTTATTCACTCCTACGGATTCATGGATGGCATTTTCTGTGACAGATGAGGAATATAGTGTATTACGGACGCTAGGGTCGTTCAACAAAATGCCCTTAATAAAGAAAAATCAATAGGGATTGCGTTGATTTGGATGGTTACTAAAACATCGAAAGTTTAATATAATCGCTAAAAGTGGTAACCAGATAATGCAGTTATATCATTCAGGGTTAATATGACCGATGAAATACCACTCATTTGTTTTTTTTAACAGTACATAAATAGTGGGTAATACTCGCAGTCGATCGCATTTTCATTGCTGGTCGAAATACTTGTTATTGGCTAACTCAGTTAACCATAAGTATTCCAAAACTCTAAGGAATTTTCTTCGAAAGGGGGAGGGAGTGCGCACAAACAAAGCTGTTCAGTTTTCCATTTTTTGTCGCTGTCCCAGTGAGAAGCGAAGTGAACTTGGCAGATTTTTAATGCAACCCTATTGTGTACATGCCGTGAAACACCGCAATGTGATTACCAGATAGGTTGGCTTCAGTCGCTGATACGTTTTCATAGACCAGTTGACATTACAACTAACTTGTTCTCTGTCTTTTACTCCCTCACCTCATGAACAGGAATTCTTTTTTGAAAATGGTCTCTTTTTGTGCACATCCTTCCAGCTTTGCCCGAGTTTTAAGTATCACATACGCGTTTAGACGTTGTTTGGTTCACTTCTAATGAGAGAGGATGGGCTGGTTTTAGAGAGTACTCAACATTTTACCCTTCTACGCTCGATCACTTGTACGCTGTATAGTGATTGCTTCCCTATAGAGGGGAATAACTAAATGACAAAACTCGGTTTCCTTCAGCTTCAAGATAATTAATATGCGACACGAACAGCATAAGTAAACATGAGTCCAACAAGCTTCCTTACTATATACACAGACACACCGTCTCGGATAAAGTGATCCTGTAGAAAACAATCATACAATTCACTGTTGTTCTATCCTTGTTAGGTTCTTCCACTGTCTCTGACCAACTGACTATGGGGTCTTTTGCGTTTAAATGGCGAGAGACTTCTGTTATGTCTGTTTTGTACAGTTTTTCACACCTCGTCTCCGGATAGCCTGTTGATTGCCAAGGCGCATCCGGTATCGTGAACCCAAACCAAGACTCATGGCACATTGTAGCAAAACACTGTCGAACTTCCACACCATGTAACCAATAATTATCTTTTTTGGCCTTTGTTCGACGTTGAGTTGGAATGCGGAATAAATTTCCAGTTAGCAATAGCTGTTAGCATCTTATTCCAATTGGAATCATGTTTTGTTGTCGTGAAAATCCCCTAAACTGCCGGTTTCAGTTTATGCAACCCTTAATCTTACACATTCGCTATGGGCTGCCCGAATCGAATTTCTTTTTTGAAGCCAGTATCCGTTTCAATTATCACTTCATTCTTGTAGACCAGTTTGCAATCGTTAATCCGATAATGAGCTTAGACCACTGTTTGTTAGAAATATGCCTCTATTTTGATGTTCAGTTGTTCACCGCGCTTGGCTATTCTATTGCAAACGTTTCGCCACCAATCGTTACTGTATTGAGAATGTCCCCTCGTTTCGTGATGAAACGTTTCCAATACAATTGCCAAGCTCGGCGAACAACTGAATATCAAGTTATACTACCCGAGCTACGAAAACAACAATCAACACCGTTGTTTACAAAACTGTCATATGCCTGTATGCCGCATAATCCCGCAATAAAGTGTAAGCTCTTCGCAATACAATAATTCATTTTTTAAAACGCAGTACATTCAAGCCGCAATAAGCGAAACACGATACAGCTAGGAACAACTGTATTCCATGTATACTGTACTTTTTCTCTATCGATTATGCTTGATCATATCGACCTTGTTCGGTCTTGTTCATCAAGCCACACAATTCGCCGAAATGAGAACCAATACACCGAAACAGACCGGACGTAAAATGCAGGTCTCATTTACTACACGCACTTTGTGAACAAGTATTATTTTCTAAACTTGTTTGCAATAAACTGTTGTCCGATTTTTAGATTTTATGCGGAGCATCTCTACCCAAATGGATCAACCGACTGGCCAGTGTCGGCGCCAAACTACCATTTGTGGAACGATCCATACCGAAAATGTGGCTAACACCACGCCCGTTAGAGGTAAGTTTCCGGTTATCTGTATCCCCGTGGATTGTTTGCTGTCTTTTTCACGCTCACTTTTCTACCTTGCATGTCCCAAAAATAATAACTGGATGAACCCCTGGGTCCAACTGTCAATGTTCGACGTTATCAAAATGTTTAAGACGAAAAACAGTTATCCGTGGCACTTACCATGGTGGTCCAGGCCAAATATCAAACCTGAATTTCTGTGAAAACTCGAGTCCATATTGGTTGATAGATTTCTGCAAATCTTCGGTCGGGGTAATCAATGTCGGTCAGAATGTGGACGACTGCTTTGTGACAAATCCTTTACGTTGGTGTTTAAAACGCACGAATCCAATGATTACGGCTGACCGATATTGTGAAAACGTCCACGGTACATTGTTTCATGATTGCGTAGCTATATGGTTCGTGAATTCATTGATACCCGCGTTTCACTAGAACTGGATATATCCGTAGTTGTTTTTTTTCGATTTCTCAGATTTTCCAATGGTTATGATGGACCGCGTATGATTTGTTTTTCCTTGAATCATTGTTACCGCCGTTTATAAAAGGTACAAATTCTAAAATGTGGGTTATTTCTATCAACTCCTTTGTAGCTCACATTTCAATAATATATATTTGTGTGTTGGAACATCTATTTTCTTTCTTTCTCCCCATAATTATCATATTCGTTTCCGTTGTTTGATATTTTTAGGAACTTAGCGTGCCACATTCGGACCGAGCGAATACAAATGCAGACATCGGATCCTGTTCTTGTCCTATGCTTGCTGACAAAGCTACATCCTCGCGGGAGCCGAGCCCTAGCAAAAATCGTCCGAACCCCTTCTCCCGTGTGCACCACACACTGTCACGCCGCTGGAATCAATCCGATCGTCCCGGTAGTTCTGTATCTTGTCGTGGGCCACCTAACCGGACAAACTCTATAGCCGGTACTGGATCACTGATGACATTGGCCGACTCATTAGATGCAAGTTTAAATTTACAGTCAGTCAATTCAAGGCATTCGTCCCGTAAAGCATTCAGACGTTTCTCTGCTCAGTCGCAATCACGTGATGGAGATAGCAGCATCAATTCAAGAAACTCTAAATTGATCGGTACCGTCCCACGTGACCCGGACGAAATGGGGTCTACTGTTCACAATGGATCGTCCGAGCTGCACAAAAGTGCGCAAAATGAACCCGAATCCGCACCCACTNCTCTGGACTGCTGTCCCGACGCAAAACGTCGTTATAGCTTTCTCAGTCGGTTTCTTTTTCCCATCCCCTCAACCCTAACCACGCGTCGCCCATCCTCGCTCTATGCCCCTTCAGATCGTAGCAATGGTTCCGGTCGAACACTTTCCTCAATCCACTCTCAGGACATGTTGTATCGTGTATCATCCACAGGCTCATTGACTCCAGAAAACCCTGCTACATCCCGACGCAGTTCAACGCGACGACTAACCGATCTGGCTGCCCTGCACAATCACGGTACGGCCGTGATGGAACAACCTGTGGCACATAAATCACGTCACTATTCCTGCCGGCGGTCGTCGAAACCCGTGACGATGACACGCAAGTCCCACGGGACTACTAGCTGCACACACGCACTGACCACTGGACTGTTGACACGTTTGCAAAATCTGTGCGGGACAGCACAACTCCATGATTCGCTCCATCCGAGTCCTACTTTCGACTCCGAAACAAACAGTCTAAAAAATAGTGCATTCTGAGGGGATATGGACACAGCCAGTTGTTTGTTTTTGTAATCCCTCCAGATACTTGGTCAATGTATGTGTTTTCTCTGCCAGTAGACGTAATGCTACACTGATTATACTTTTTGACACTCGTCTCTCTTCATACTTTATTGTTCCACCCAAGGCCTTCCTCCTTTGTGTGATTGGGCAATTACTACCCATGCCCACCCACTGATCGGATGACCAGTGGCCAACTCCTGAACACTTTTTCTCATCTTGTACATCGCGAGCAGGTCTTCCGTGCAACCTACATGTCACAACTGACGCGCTTTCCTCTACATTCAACTCCAACCCCATCTGTTTCATTCACTTCTCAGTTTGTCTCCAAACAAAATGACCTATCCTCAGGTGTTTTTTCTCTTTTCCACCATCCATTTAGACATCTGGAAAACTTGTCAGTTAAGCCCTATTTCAACACTCGCATACGTGCACACTAGCGGATAAATGAAAGCGAGTGCGCAGATCTAGTCGTCGTTCCCAGCCTCACCCTTTTCAGCACGGCAACACCCTACACTCTAGGTCCGGTTTGAGTGCACCGAGTACATCTTCCGCGCGTGCATATATTGTCCTCTGTTCCCTCATCCTCTCCCAAAGGACTCAATCTTGATGTATATGCCGAACTCACCTCTTTACATCCCTTTCCTGTTCTTCCTAGCGCAGCCGCATTCGTGTACCCGACAAATGTGAATGGATACAACTGTTTCTTTCCACTGGCAGCTCGCATTCCAGTCAGGTTATGATTACGCCTTGATTCACATTCTCCCCAACCCCGTTTTAGATGACCGTTGATTAGCGCTCTGTACTTGCTTGACTTGGTTACTGTTTTTAGACGGTCTACCCTGTGCATAGCAGGAGGAGAAGAACAACGAACGCTGCCCCAATGTGCTGCACGTGCCTCTGGCAGAATTTTTGTCATCCTCCGTGTGTCCTTTTCAGAAGACAAAGAAGAAACACATGAACAGTAGTGTCTGCGTGTGTGTGGTTGGATCGAGTTTCTTTTATTTTATCTCATCTCTGTTTGTGCGCTTGCTAGCGTGTTTTATTGCGCGTCTATTTCTTTCGGACGTGACTGTCTTTCTTTACAAATATTCGCCACAGCTCATTCCGTTGTTCCTTCCCTTTCTTTTCGGGTAACGGATTTGACAGACTAGATATTGTTACATACACCATATGCTCAGTACCAGCGACTAAAAATGGAACTAACCTAGATATTCTTCCCCTAATCCGCAAAATTATGGGAATGTATACAGAAACATTGTTAGGTTTGGGACGGAAAGCCATACGTGTCCCAGACACTGTATCATTCAGTTCTCAGCTCTGTATTCTTAGCCTATGGTGGCCGTTTTCCTTACCCATTAAGGTTATCATTATCGAATAGTACTGCTTTAAGCAGGCTAGTTTTGTTCGCCGGTCCAACACGAAGAATAAGTCGCTGGTTTCCAATGTGTTTACAGACCATCTTATTCGATCGTAAGGCACAAAGCGAGGTTGTTCAATCCTCCCTTCGAGTAGTACTAGTACCAAATGGGTTCAACTGGTGATTGTTTTATTAGACTTAGAGCTCAGTTGCTTCACGTTTTGACGCACCTGTTATTAGCATATCCGAAGACGTATAAATTTATTTTCTCACACGTCTGAATCCAGACTGTATGCCAAATAAATCATGGTACAATAATCCTTATAAAAAAAATGTTCCACGATTTACATGTGGGCGGAATACTCCCAGGTTGCCCAGGCCAAGACAGGTGAATTTTCTTAAGGAATGCACAACTAAGGCCTTTCACTAGCCAAAGCGTGACCCGCAGGGCAGCGGGGCGGTGTGTGCTAACCGAAATCCATTGGGGCTGGTGTTCAGGTCATCGGATCATACGCCCTTTGGGCAGGGTCAAACGTCCAAGGTACCCAATCGAGCCGGTGACCACCGCCACAACCAGGAAGTTGTGTGTGGTTCGTGCGCCTCCTCTTGGTGGGTTTGGAATCAGGGTTTTGGGCCAACTCCCCTAGGTGAACTACCGGTGGTCCGCCAACTCGATCATAGCCACGGATGTCGGCTTTTCGTCCTCTCCATTTGGTGGGAAAACACCACTACGAGAAGGCAGTGGGTAAGGCCTCCTCAACAGAGGCTATTCGAGACGCTTGGTCGTTTGGAAGCATTTGGGGAGGTGCAAGGGAAGGGTGACCAGCCTCAACCCGAGACACCTACTCCGACCATGCTGAGGCGTTTGGGGGCGAAGACGTTTATAGTATGGGTTAATCTTTTCGGCCTACGCACGGTTGTCTACTTTGTTTTCTGATCACGTTAGCTTCATAAAATGTGAAGTTATCTATTGCGTTTACATGCCATGATTTCGAGTGCTTAATCCTGGTCAAATTGGTGAACTGCTGTCAGTTTGCGTTTCGCAGTCGAAGATGCTAGTTATCTTACCTGAGCATCACATCGTCAAGCTAATCAATCACTCCATCATGTATTCTGTCTTTCATTGGATTAGGTGTTCTTTTTTATTGCGACGACTACAAATGAGCTGAGTTCTACCCTGTTGATGATTAGAAGCAGTATAATTTGCAGAACATTCATGAAAGAAGTAAAATCTTTTTGTGGTGTGTCCGACGCGCTTCTGCACAGCCGCGTGTATTCATTCTAAGACTGGGTTCAAATCGCGCCCAACTTGGTTACACAAACGGCCGTCTTCTTTGGGTTGAGGCGACATCAAAAACCATGTTTTGCGATGGAAACAGGTTGGGCTTTTGTGCTGATCAATGAGTTTCTGTGGTTAGTCTTTAACCAGTAGGGTTTTTTATAAAAAAAAAAGTTATCGTTGGTCTGTGGTTGGGAGGTTCGTGTGGTTTATGTAACGGAATCCTTAACGTTGGCTATACAAAAGTCTATTTCGTAAAGGGAATTTACAAGTTTAACAAACCTAGGACCTAAGGTCGGACCCAAATGCGTAACCGACTTCTCCACTAGTTAGTTGATTAGTGTGTCATTCCGCCTTCACATTACGAGTAACGCAGCATCATACTTAACTTACAGGCTGGAGGACAGATTTGATCTATCGTATTTCTTTCTCTAAGCGGCGGTGGTCGTATAGACCCAGAGTTCTTTGCGTTGGAATCCAGTACAGTGCACGAAAAATGAAGGGGAGGTTGTTATCCGACGGGCAATGTGTGAATTTGTTTCACTTGTTGGGGGACAGACAACAGTGAAGGGAAAATAGCGAGCAAATTATACATTTCCAGGTAAACAACTAATAAGCTGCCAACACTACAGACCCAACAATAAAAAGTGTTTGATCGAAAAGGAAGATGTCCCACAAGGTCAAAGCGTACATATAGGGACTTACTAGCATTGAGTTCAAACCAACGGAACAAAAATGTAAGCTTCAGTTATTCTGCAAATCTCCATTGTATGCCATAGCTTGAGTATCCAATGATAGTTAATAAGACACCGACTTTTTCATTACAGTCCAGTGTGTGATGAAGATCAGACGGGTCGAACCCCATAGTCACGGAAACCTGCTATTCAGTGGTGGAAACCGCGAACCAAAGCCCCGGGACTTGGAGTGATGAACCATATAAGGCCCCGATGGGTTAGGCATGGTATTGGACCGGACGACAGCAGAGCTGCCTACCACCAAAGTCGGGTGACGGGGCTTGACCCTCGAATCACAGGGTCCAAAGCACGCTGGTGACAGCGACTCAACCACTGCGCCACCACCATCCTTTGACAACAGCTGACATGCTTGAGAACTTCAAACAGACAGAGTCGTTCGTCAAATGAATTGATAAATGAGCCCTAGTAGTCTTCAGTGGTGGTCAGAGATTGATTTGCACTGCCCCTGCGCAAAGAATCGAAGTGACTTAGCCCTAGTGATTTTAACGTTGGTTCCCATGAGCCGCTTCCTCATACCAGATAACAACAAAGTTGGCTATTCTAGACACTGTTTAAACCTTCGTTTCTTGCATAAGCATTGTCGTTCTTTTTTGAGAATCCTAGGCTTTCCTCAGAATAACGCCACGCGCGATTTTCGACAAGATCACGGCTTTTATACCGAAATATTAAGCAACAGGATTCGCCTGAACACAATTCGAAATTTAAATCCCATGCAAAATATTTTGGGTCTCAGCAAGTGAATGTTGTATGAAAATATATATAAATTCCCGGAAGAGGATAATTGAAGAGGGTGCCATTACATATCTGGAGAGCGAGCTTCGGATCATTCTCTTCTGAACAGTATGTCCTAACTAAGTTCACTTGCACTGAGGCGTAATAGATTCGCCCAACCGTGCTCAACCATTTTCGTTTTGATGAAATCCGAGGTGGTTTTTTAATATTTTGCACCCCATTAATAGTTTTGCATCTGTTGAGTTCAAAAATAAAAACGTGGCCTGTAACCATATCCACAGATGCTTTTTCTGCAAACATAAAAGAACCACGTGGTGAGAAAGATGAGCCGACAGAAAACCAAGCCGCCATTCTGTAATCCTTCCTGTAAAACTTGATAACGCGAAACATGCCTCTTGGGAATTTGACTGCAATACTGATTATTGAATCAAACGAAGTAAAAGTCGGCAGAAGAACGAGAGATTCGAACAGTGCGTGAACGCAGATAGAAATGGAATTGAAACAACAAGCGCTTGACTCGTGAGAATATGTACACTCTGTTCAACTATTAACTGAGCAATGCAAAACAAAATGGTCTCACCATAGAAGAAATGAGTGTAATGAAACAAGTGAGCGTTGGTAGTTACAGTAGTAGTAGTAGTAGTAATCTTACTATGACTGTTTGTCTACAGTTTTTGTGAAACCATCTGTGTTCCATGAATTTAACGACCATTGACGCTTAGTTTGAACATAGTCTAATCTGTGTTAGTCAAACGTTTTCTTGGATATTTCAAGAAAACTGTTTTTGAATTTAGATTGTGAAAATTCCGGCAGCCTAGCTGAGGTTCCAACCCACCTGCGTTTTTGTACAGTA